TGGCCTGGCATAAGTAAAACCTGGGAGCATGTTGTTCCTTTACCTGAGCTGATCTGGCTGAACTAGGAGGAGGAACTTCTGTTTAAGTGAAACAGATGTAGGATATGAACATAACTGTCCCCAGTCCTGAATTGTCTCTGCACATCTAAGGACCGTGGGGGCTCTGAGAAGGCAGCACACCTGACAGACCTGTTAAACCTCTGACTGTCAACATGAATTTACAGGCAATGGAAAATTAGCATGGCTGTTTTGCTAATGCAGTCATATTTGGTTCAGCTGGAAAGGGGAGTGCTTTTGGAAAGATTAATGTGGAAGGTAATTGGTAACTTCCTGAGGGCTCCGGCACATGCAGAACGCGCTGGATTTACGCAAGGGAGGAACACGGGGTAGTCCTGCAGAGTAAAGTCCCAGGCTTCTCTTTCCTGTCACCTGTATTTCAAACAGTTGGTGTTTTCTCCTCTCTGGGAGTTGAGTTTCTTGTGATTTTTAACTGTTTATTGCCTAGTTAAATGAGAAGTGTTACTTTAACTGCTTCAGTTCTGAGCATGGCAATGCTTGTACCTTAGTGCCAGTGGTTGACCTCTCACTGGAATTCAACCCTCCAATCGTTCTCATGATTGGTGCTCCAATTTTTGGTGCTCAATACCTAAGTAAATCCATCTCTAAATAATATCAGCTCTGCAGGGACTTTGTTTATCAGAAGGAACCTAAGCATTATTTATTATTGCTGTTTTCTTAGAGGCTGTGTGAAGAGTTTGCATTGACACAGTCATATCCTTGGATCATGTGGTGCAGCATGTTGCAGGTTTTGGAAATGTATTAGAATCCTTTCTAAATACAGATGTTTTAGGAATTGTGCTGTGGGAAGAATATAGGGCTCAATTCTGCTACCAAACTCTTGTAATTATTTCTATTGATACTGGGGAAGCATGGACTTGTGAAGACAGAATCTAACACCACGCTGGAAAAGCTTTGTCAAAGTTGTCTAAAATTTGGAGCCTAAAACTCAGATATTGCTCAAGTTGAATTTTCAGAGTTTGTCTGAGAGTTGTTGACTGTGATTCAAACAGTCAACTTCACTCTGCAGCAACACATACTCAACATCTTACTCAAATGCTCTTCTTGACCATTGCTACTTTAAGAAGGATAACTGTTGGGTTTTAGCATAGCTGGGTATGCAAAGACTAATGCAGTGTAACCTCACTCTAATTTAGGACTGGCTAAGTAGGCACAAGGCCAGGGGTTTTACTTGCTAATGCTTTTTTCCTCCTTTACCCGTTGCACTTAAATGAGAGTGCATCCCAACTCTGACCTGGCTTAAGATAGTGAGCATTTTAAAAACTAAAAAAAAAAAGGAGTAGCTTCCAAGCCATGCTGTGGGGAGGAGGGAGTTATGTGGCTGAGAATGAATGTAGGTAATCATAATGATTGACAGGTAAGAATAAGCCCTGCTGGCAACTGAAAATTCCCAACAAGCCAGCAGGGCTTGGCCTATTTCTGTCTTCTACCAGCAGATCAAAGCTGAGTGGATTCAGCATAAAGCAAACAGTGTCAGCAAGCTTGGTTTAATTTTGATTAGTAAGCTAATGTAGATTTTGTCTAATTTTCCTTCTCCTTTCCTCTCCATGGTTCTCCTTTCCCTGCTGTTTTCTCATTGTGTATAGACCAACATAACATATCTCACTTTCTCCCTTGTTCCTGCATGACATTATAAATTCTGCCTGATAATCCCCAAGAATTATAAAAGTTAATTAACACTAAGCTATTTTTACAAGCCTCTTTATTACAGTGCAACAAACTGCATTCCTAATTTATCAGGATGTTGCCAAGTGTGAATGAAAGATGTTTTAAGGCAAAACAGTGTTCAGAATGGTTTCAATCTGGGCAGTACTGGTTTAAATGAATGCATGAACACCGATAAAAGTGTTAATAATTCAAGGTTGTGTGTTGCACTTTGTTTTCAAAATTAGTATGTTGAAAGCAATGTGATGTTCCAGACTCCCCAGAAATGGTGCTTCAGTTCCTCATCAGTGGGGACTTCAGAAACATTTCCAAGTTAGAGTTTAGGAAAAGAAGCCAAGATGAGGCAGGAACTAACAGCAAGAATGTTGTTACTGCTTTCACTTCCTTGTGTTGCTGTATGTTTGTTGCAGTGACCAACCATTTTACAGGAAAAAAAATTTAATACCTTCAAAATCAATATTTTCTCATTTTTGCAAATAATTTGATGAAGTTCCAGCAGCTTTTGGACACCTGCTGCCTTCAGCCATGAGTCCTTTCAGACCCTGGTAATTCTATGTTTAAGGAAACTGTGCCCATTTCAGCATTCTTTTTCCAGGCTGAAGAGTCCAAGTTCATGTCACCATTTCTTGCATGTCCTTCAGTTCTTTCCACTTCTGTTTCATGACTCTGTACTGGAGCGTAACAGTCAATCATCAGTCTCATTTTTGACCTTTTGCATGACTTGTCCTTGTTTGCCAGGCAGCAGTTTTCCCAAACAGTACATCTTGGTGTTCTTCTCTGGAAGAGTCTAGTGCTTGTTTAATTTGGCATTCAGAAGTCTGTGACAGAGGCATATTCCTACCATGAGCTCTGTCCATGGCTTGGTGCTCAGTTATTAGCAGCTTTCTCCTCCTGTTGATAAAAAATGCAAGTAAAACTGTAGATGATCCATTCAAAAGGCCAGTTTCATTTGACCTGTCACCCCTTGTCCACCTCCCATAATCTCTGCTCCATACCATGCAGCAGCAACTTGCTCAGTGTCAGGGGTTGTTGCCCAAGTTCATATCTCAGACACTTGGAAATTGGTGTGCTCATGTCGAGAAGAAAACCACTCTCTGCACAAATCATGTAGAGACTGGAGCAAGTGAAAAGAAGAAGTTGTATCTGTTTTCTGAGATGAACCAATTTGCTCCAAAATCTGAGATGCTTAATGAGAACTGATACCAAAGTGTAGAATATGACTAGGAATCTCAAGAAAGATTGTTTGTTTGTTTTGCCCTTGCTCAGAAATGAAGAGTTGCGTTAAAAATTAAAAATATCAGCAACATAGGGGGAATCAATTTATTTGCCCATTAACCCCCCCCCAAAACACAACAATAAAACTGTGTTCATTTAAATCAAACTGGATTTAGTCTAAACTTTTGAAATAATTCCCATTCATAATTCCTCTTTCTTTTTTCTCCTGTTTACTTACAGGAAGCCTTCCTTTCCCTGCCTTAATGCCAAAAGCCATTATACTGCTGCTCTCCACTGTAACTACCAAAGCCCTGCCTCAACAATGACTGTCAGGGTCAGAGCAGATTAAGGGGGATAAACACTTCAAGAGTGCTGGTCTCTTATCTGCCAGGGCAAGTCAGCACTCTTGTTCACACATCTTGAGCCAGGAAGATTGATTAAAAGCCCCACGTGGCCATAAGGCCAGAATGTGAAGTAAATGACTTCCAGGGTTCCCATGTAACAAGAATCTTAGGAGAATAGAAGACTTGGGAAGAAAGCAAACCCTAGAAAAAACAAACCCAAAGAAAGGTCCCTTTGATCTGGTGTCTGTCTTACATCTGTAACACTTCAGTTCCTAGAAAATAAGTATGTCACTTTATAACTTCTGGTTTTCACTGCAGTTCAAGTCTATTTTGTATATATATTAAAAATGTAGATATATTTTAAGGACAGAAAGAAAATTACTTTCCTTTATTGGTGTCTCCCTTCCTGATCTGCAAAGGTTACCCAAAATAACTGTATTCACACATTGCTCTGAACTGGAAGAAATCATTTTTTGCCAACTTATTCTTCAGACTGTGGCGTTAGAAATCAGGGCCTGGTGTGATATTGAGCTGCACAGGTTGAGAAGAAAAGCAAATGCAAACAAGCCTATTGCTGGCAGATAAAATTCCAGGGTTACCTCCCTTAAATGGCGAGACCTAAATGTGGTATTATTAATTCTTTGACTCTTCACTTGTAATTTGGAGCTGAGACTCCAGGCTGAGTCCACTGTGTTGCTATGAGGAAATGACCTAATGGACCAAGGCAGATTGCCCTAATTTGTTATTTATTATATCTCTTATATCTCAGATGGCATCCCAGCTGCCTGAGACTGCTGGTGCGGGTGTAACATGGCCCAAAATACAGGGTTCTCAGTGAGTGAGAAGAGATCTGTGAGCAGGAGAGCAGGCCTGAAACGTGATGGTCAGTGCTCAGGGCTGTCAGCTCTTGGGAATGTTTTGGTAATGGACAGTGAAAGGTGGGCTTTTATCCTGACAACAAACCGAGGTGTCACGACTTAGTAATTAAATGTATTGGAAATCCACACTTTGCATATTTAAAAAAAAGGGTAAATCTGCTGGCCAGAAAAGAGAAAATCATCTGTGTAACTTAATAAGAATATTTTCCTGCATTTGTCATCTTTTCCAGAGGTCTTTCAGTAATATTTTTATGTTCCTTATTCTTATTTCTGTTTCCATTTTTATTTCTTAAATAGCAAATGAAGCAGAACCACAGGAGACCTTTAGAATGGATACAAAATGTTTAATGATCTTTGCCATGTTGAATGCAAATTTTCTTCTGTCATTACTCAAATCCTCAGTAGGGATTTTCTGCTGTTATCTATCTCAAGCCCTTCTGGAACATGGTTATGAATTTTAGCAGCATACAGCTTGGATTCTCTAAATTTCCATTTTAGAGGAGAGTCCTGGGGATTGAAAGAACAACCACCACCTCACTCCAAACTGCTGTTTTATACCACACCTTACCCTCAGCCTTTGGGAGCTGACACAAAGTGACTTCCATGTGACTCTTGGCCAAAGAGGGCCCAGAATTTAGTTGAACCAGTAGACTTCTTCAGAGGTTCCCAATATATCAAGCAAGACTACATCTTGAACATATTTTCCAGAAAACAGGTTGAAATTTCTGGTTACCTGTTGCTTTGCAGTGACAGGTCACATATAAATATCTAACTGCTCCCTCGCTTATGGATTCACTGTTTTCTCTCTCTCTGTTTTCAGAAGCAGAAACAGAAATCCTATTGGTCCGGGAAAGTATGGATATGGAAAAGTGCCATACATTTTACCTTTACAAACTGACACTGGTCAGCAGCCTCAGAAACTCCGGAGGCAGCGCCAGTCCTCGAGGAGCCACATGTTCCACCCGAGCCCGAGCCTCCTGAGCACCTACAGCCAAGCAGCTGGGCCTCCAGTCCAACATGGGAACCTTTATCAAGAAGCAAGTGGGCCTCAGGCAGGACATCAGGTCCTGGGACCCTCAGTTTATCAGTCACCATCGTTTCCTGCATCTCAAAGTCTGTTCCAGAGCAGTGACCCTGTGTCAGCCCAGGCCCTGCAGGGGCAGCCCCAGCCCCAAAGGGCCGCTGCCATCGTGTGCGTCGGCACCTACAAGCAATACAAACTCTGCAACACCATTGTAAGTCTGCTTTTCAAAGGAGTTTCCTGTGTTTAATGTGTTGGACAGCTACAGCTTTCCTCAGTATGTGAAATGTTCACATGATTGTCGAGTTAAGCTGAACGTTGTTTTTTTATTAATTTAATGAAAATTTTTTGTGAACTTATTTTAAAGTGTCTTAGGGAGTACTGAAAGTAGATCCATGACACTACAGTTACTTAAAACCATAACTTCAAGGATTTTAAGCAGTTGCTTGACCTACCAACATGTATAATTCTAATTGGATAGAAGGAGAAACTGGTCTTTTTGGTGCCAAAACCTGGGAATATGAGGAATTTGAGACAAGAATAGTAATGGAGGGAGGTAGGGAGCAAAATATGGACTGAACAATGTTAGGGAGTGGAATGATCTTGTAGAATTTTTGTTGTAATTATGGTGAAGGGGCAAGGGATGTTTTTTGTGTAAATTGTCCGCTTCTCTTTGGTGCTGTGATAATTTTACTTTGATCTTTTTGTGGGGGGAATTTTTTTTGGTTTGGTTGGTTGGTTGTTTTGTTGATGTTGAAGGCTGTGTGATGAAGTAGCCCTGATCACTCCAGGATCTTTCCATGGTGCTGTGTATGTTCTCTGACAGATGCTACTTTTCCCAGCATTCGAGCTCTACATGCTTTGATTTTGGCTTCCTAATTCATTGGAATGAAAATCTGTTCTGTGTTAATTTTTAAATGAAACTTACTCTCTCACTGCTTGATTCAGAAATGTTTGGCTGGGTGTAGCTCCATGCTCCAGGGCAGCCTCCCATTGTATGTGGGAGGCGAGTGAGGTTTTGTTCTTTGTCTCCATTAGCAGTTTTCATCCTGCTAAAATTTCCAGTTTCTGCCTGTGCCATTTTAGTATTTCCCAAAGTATCTCCTCCTAATATTTTATCTTATTTGGGCTCCTAATCTAGCCTAATGTTGCAAACATGAAGAAGCCTGTATTTGGATATTGGAAGCAGGATGTTCAGGAGAGATCTCAATATGTTGACAGAACAGGCCATATTTTTCTGGGTGGGTGCACATCTGATTCTTCTGCCTCTTAAAAATCCTGTTTTGTTCAGTGGAAGCCTGCATAGTGGAGATGGAGCAACAGAACACAGGATAACAAAAACATGACTACACAAATTAGATGAGTGCCTTTTTGCCTCTTAGGGTAGCAGTTATTACATCTGCTTTATTTATAAGTAAAATCCATTGATAGAGACTAGAGCAGTTGATTGAAGAGACCTAATGTCAAGAAAGCTTTAGTGTATTTGTCTGGAATGGAAAACATGAAAGAGCTAATTTGAGCCTCTGAGAATAGTCTCTGGTACAAATTGCTCTTTTGAAAAACACTTTCTGTTTTTTGAAGGAAATGGGAAATGACCTTAGTGCATGGGCATTAATTTGGAAAGTTTTCTGTGCCGAATTTTCTCAGTGGTGTCCAAGCAATACACAAATGCCCCAGTCTTTATTTCACCCCTCACTCATCAGGGCACAAAGTTGGACAGTGTTCTGCCTGACTTCATGTAAGAAAATCGCTTCCAGGAAAGAGGTCTTTTCAGAGAGCAAGGGGTGAGAGGTGAGGAAGTTAGAAATGAGGTGGAAGAAAGAAGCAATCCCAGACAAGGTATGGGAAAGGAAGGCTTGTAGAGGACATTTGTTGAGAATGACAGGTGGGCTGGAGAGTAGAGGGCAGCGAGCTTGTGAATTGGACATTGGCAAGGTAGGCAGGTCAGTGTGATGAGGGGTTTGGCCATGGGCAAATTTCTTTTGCTAGAAGGGGAACAGGGATGAAAATATTTTCATGTCAGTTTTAGAATCTGTTGTTTAAACGGAAGAATTCAACAGATGAAGAGAAAACATAGGTGAGCATACTGTTTCTGCATCTTTGCTGTTGTTGAGGGCATAAATGCAGTTATAAAGAAATCTTTGGTTATATTACAGGAGACTTTTAATAGCCAAGGGAAATTGTAGATGATGCAGCTTCTCCTAAGCGTGGAACTCTCCATAGTGATATTCTTTTTTTAGTAACATTTCTGTTACCCTTGTTGAAGCTGTAATTGCTGTTCAGGGTTATTTTTCTCCCTAGAATGTGGTAATTAATGTAATTATAGAAAAGAAGTAGCTAAGAACAGTTTGAGTATAAAGGCCAGGACGAGAGCAAAACAAGGCTGATAGTGTTTCACTCTGTTCACTTGTTCTTTCTGATTAAATGCTTCTGCACGCGGGCTTTAATTTAATTTATCAGCAGTGACTTGTACCAATAGTCTTGCCAGCAAGCAGAGAACAGCATCTTTTAATTTTTTTTTCCTCAGTTCTTCCTGGAGCACGCCAAAAATGAAAATCTCATTTATTGAAGGTATTCTGTTAACCATTATCCTGGTGTTTGACCACTCCCTCTACAGTTTCTCCTAAGGGCAGTTAATTTATAACAAATTAAGTCAATCTGCCTCGGTCCATTAGGTCATTTCCTCATTATTGTACATTTATTGTTTTTTCATTAATAGCCAAACTCATTTTACATGACTGACAGCTTGATTCATAAAAGTTAAACTTGTGGGGTTTGGTCGGGGAGACCCTCGGAAGTGCTTGTATTTGTTCAAGTGTTCCTGCAGGTCCTTAAACCTATTTTCTCATTCTACAAGTGGCTTCCCCTCTTCAGCACCTTGCCTCCATGCTCCCCTCAGAACACACAGCTGCCTGTCACCTCCTTGGGCAGGAAACAGGCAGGAAACATCCCTTCTCTGCACACAAACAGCACTGACAGGTCTAACTGAAACCATAAGCTACCTGCAGTACAGTGAGATTCTTCCAGTGCAGTCTGCACTCCTCCAAAATAGGGAGCTGATGAGTAAATCTCCCTTACTGCCCCCTGCATTAAAAGAAGGAGAATTGGATGTGTGATTGAAGTAGAATTCGAATGCGACCTTCTTTGCGTGGTTTGTCGCCAGAACAAAGGAAGCAACTCAAATGGAACATTTATTTACTGAGCACTTTCTGTAATTAATTGTCTCCAGCGCTGCCAAGTCAGCAGCTCTCTGTGAGCGCCTGAGTGTGTGAGAATATATTTGTAAATTAACTCCAGGCTGCAGGTCACTTGGGCAGTGTACAGAAGGAAGCTTTCAAGGCTCTGGACATTCAAGACTGTTTGTTTTGCAGTGTATATTTGGTGACACACAGTGCCCCTTATAAAATAAATCAGGTAAAATTGATTTTTAATTTTTTGTAAGGCGTGCAGTGAATTGTGGCTTATTCGTAAATACAATAATTCTTAGTATGTCTCTATCCTTACTATGTAGAGATCTTATTGCAACCTTTCAGTACTTAAAGAGGGCTTATAAGATGGCAGGACTTTTTACCAAGGCCTGTAGTGTCAGGACAAGAGGCAACCCTTTTAAATTAAGGGTTTAGAGTGGGCATAAGGAAGAAATCTTTCCACGATGAAGGTGGTGAGGCCCTGGCACAGGCTGACCAAATAAGCTCTGGATGCCCCATCCCTGGAAATACTCAAGGCCAGGCTGGACAGGGCTTTGATCAACCTGCTCTAGTGGAAGGTGTCCCTGCCCATGGCAGGGGGGTTGACATCAGGTGATCTTTAAAGGTCCCTTCCAAGCCAAACCATTCCAGGATTCTACATTGTCCTTGGTGGAGAGTTCAGGCCTGAATGCCCTGTTTACACTGGCAGCTTGTTACCTCTCCTCTTCTGCAGTTCCCACTTTCCAAATTGCACCAAACAGCTGATGAGGTCCCATAGTACCCATGACCACTTCAATGCTCTGATCAGAAAACCCATAAAATAAAATAAAATAGTGTCTCTTTTGGTGATTCACTTACAGCACAACAAGGAGTATGAAAACCAGGCAGGGAAATTCATATATGAGTTTCAGCAGGAAGAGCAATGCAAAAAGGATGTAAAATCTGAGTTGTCTTTGAGAGGTATGTTTTTGACCAAATTTATATCTCAATTTATATAGTAATTTGCAAAAAGAAACTAAGGTAAAATATATGAAAGACTAATTGTTGAGGGCTCACTGAGATATTTATGGATGAAGTTTTGCTGAGCTTGTCCAGTTTATTTCCAGTTACTGGTTCATATGGATTAGTGTCATGTCTCCAGTTACATTGTGTTGTCTTTCTCAGTATTTTATGTGACTGGTACTTAACAGGAAGTAGTTGTGTTTTGGAGAAGTATCTAGAGAGGATCAGAAAACAATGATTACTTTTACTTTCTTGCCCTGACCCTTCAGCTGTGCATACTGTTGTTCTGGTAGCATAGCTATGGAAAACCCAGCTTTTGGTTGTGAATGAGAGTCCTCTACTTGGATCTGTGTTCCTGTGTGCAGAGCACTTGGGAACAGCACCTGAGCAGGGAATGCAAAGTATCCAAAAAGACAATTTTGGAAATGGAAAGAGGTTTTACAATTGAAGAGATGAAGTAAAAGGCTCAGGACCAATCCCCCACTCTATTGTGATGGGATAAATTAATATATTTAATTGCCCAAAGAGCCTTAATGATGATGATGATTCTACTTTTGACTGGTATGAGTTAAAACTTTGCCATTGAAAGGCTTTTTTTGGACACAGACCCCCAATTAAATGGAATTGAAAAGTCCTGCAGTAACGTGTTGAGTTCATTAAAAAGTGATGTGCTTTTCTCTCCCCTAAGCACGTAGGTAGGCATTGGCAGGCTCCCTTGGCACCTGGGATCTTGGGCCATTCACCAGCTCGCTGGTGTTTCAGTTTTTTCCAAAGTTTTCCACTCTATAGAAACTGAAATGTTTCCAAGGTTTCAAGTGTTAACAAAGGTAGGAATGGAAATGTTTAATTTTGTATGGAACAGCAAATGTAATTCCCAGACTAGTCTTTTCAGAAGTGATACAGGGTTCTGCAAGTGTGCATTCTTTATTGTAGTTGGGGGTGCTCAGGTATTGAGGTAAAGACTAACAAAAGACAATGTAGTTTTAACTGAACTTTCTTTTTTAAAACTGAAAAGCTCCTTCTT